ATCACGAGGTTGAACCTGGACACACAGTCTGCCCAGGATGCATTTGACTGATGGATAAGGACTGTGTGTGGGTGGGTGGGTGGGTGGGTGGGTGGGTGGGTGGTGGGTGGGTGGGTGGGTGGGTGGGTGTGCGCCCACATCCCCGTGTGCTGCATGACTGCAACTACTGATGAGTCGGTGAAAGTCACGACGAAAGAGTCTGGCACAGTCGTGCTTTTCTTTGTGGAGTTGTGTATAGCGATTATGTGTGTTGTCATGTTCACTATACACAACACCACAATAAAAAAGAAAAAAAGACTGAGGCAGACTGTTTCGTTCGACTTTCACTGACTCATCAGGAGGTTGCAATAAACAGACGCGCCAACAGCCAGACTCAAGCACAGAAGGAAAGGGAAAGAGAGAGTGAAAGAAAAGGGGAAGAGCGGGGAGAGCGATGGGAAGAGATACTAAACGAGCCGCCCAGGGAAAGACAGAGGAAATCGATCTTCTTTTCCCCCAGGGGTGAGAGATGGGGGGGAATTGATCCTTCCTCGCTTCCTAATCACTATTTTATAATTCTTGTTAAGTTATTACTGTATTATATTACACTGCATGTCTGACGTCAAATATTATGTTTCTCTGACTATATATATATCGTCTGTCCAGCAAACCGTCGGCGGAGAGGGAGAAGAGGACAATATAGATATATATATAAAAAACAGTATATATTGTCACAAGAGTATCAGAGCGCAAATGCGAACAAAAAGGGAAAAAGAAAGAAAAACAAGAAAAATTGATATATATATATTGTCACTCTACAGCGCTGTATCAGAGTCACATCCAAGGGCAAGACGAACTCATCACAGTCCCGACATCGAACACCCCCCCCCCCCGCTTTTTATTTACCAAGAGGAGCTCCTTTCTATTGGCGCAGCACGTGCTGCAGTGAATCAAGACGAGTGGCACGCAGAGAAGAGAGAGAGCGAACAGTGGGTGCAGGGAGGGACAAATAAGAGATTGAACAGAGGCCGCAGAGGAGAAAGGAGATAAACGCCCAGAGGGTCATAGGTTGAAATCCTGTCACCTTGAGTCAAAATCAGAGTAAATTGATATGAAAATCAATCGACCACAGCACAGACGCTGGGACCGCCACTGTTGCACTGAACAAAAAAGAGAGCCAAAGGGAGGGGGCCACATAGGGAGTGAGACAGGCAAAGAGAGCGAAGTAGGGAACAGGGAAGTCGAAGTTCGCTGCTAATATTCAAAAGGGAGATTAGGAAACTTACTTTTGGGATAACAGTTCTTGGGATCTCCGTCCATGCACCCGTTCAAAATTTCCATTCCCATTTCGCGCAGTTTTTCGACCTCTTGATCGCAGAAAAGAGACGTGAAGGCTGTTCAACCTTCAATCTGGGATCAGGATCGATATCCTCTAGGGGAACTTTGAACGGAAAAAAAAAAAAAAAAAAAAAAACAACGAAGAAAACAAAGACCTCTTGGATTTCTTTTTCGTCTATGTTCGGGTGTATTCATAAACGTAACTCTTTTAGACCTCTTGGATTTCTTTTTCGTCTATGTTCGGGTGTATTCATAAACGTAACTCTTTTTCATCTATTCTTTGAGCATTGTTTGAAAAAAAGGAATCACCATCTTCACCCCTTTCGATCAACCAACCAGCGCAGGAAGCCAATCAACCAATCGACCAATCGACCAATCGACCAATCGACCAATCCACCAATCAACTAATCAATCAATCAATCTTATCCATCGATCAATGAATCAATCTTATCCATCGATCAATCAGTCAAGAAACAGATCGATCTCCAAACCGACGAAGATTGGGTCGACCTTTCAAATTGCCAAGCGGTCAGATTGGCTCAAGAAAGTCAAAATGTGGGTATGCCCTGAGTCTCTCTGAGCAAAACCCCCCGGTAGATTCCATGAAAGGCCCACGCTCGGTTTCCCATGTAGCGTATCCCCGAAGACAGCGTGCCCACACCACAAAAAAAAAGGCAGCGTGTCTATCTGTCATCAACGGGCCTTGTCCAACAACATAGGGACGATCGCCGTTGCCACGTCGTAGCCTGACCACCATATGGCAGCCAACCGTGGGCGGACGGCACGCCTATCAGGCGCACCGAGGCTCTCTCTCTCTCTCTCTCTCTCTCTCTCTCTCTCTCTCTCTCTCTCTCTCTCTCTCTCTCTCTCTCTCTCTCTCTCTCTCTCTCTCTCTCTCTCTCTCTCTTTTTTCAGCATTAGTAGTGAGTAGTGGGGGAAAGTTTGTGACCCCATCTGACCCCATGTAGAGTTAATTGCGGTCACATACACACATACACAAAAAAAAAAGAGCGAAAGGGAGATCCAATCACCCGGTACATCTTTCTTTTTCCTTTTCCGTCGACTATCTGTGATTAAAGATACGGGAGACAGCTCATACGTCTAGAAGCTGCCGGACGTGACGTCCCATATGGTGGACCTTGAGTAAATGTGTCGGTGTGTGGGTATCTCTGTGTGTGTGTGTGTGTATGTGAGAGAGAGGGAGAGAGGGGATGGTAGACGATAGCCGATCGTTGAAGGGAGGAGGAGCTTTCACTGCAATAAGAGATGTTGTCCAATCTCGATGCATGATCAGAAAAGCGGACAGTCGATGTTTTCCGATGGAGATGGATGACGAGTGGAGTTATCCCGGTAATTAGCCTCGGTTTCTTTTCCCCCCTTCACCCTTTCTTTTTTACTCTCGTCTTTCTTTTCTCTCTCTACAGTGAAAGTCTCACAACTACTTAGCCTCCAAGAGCAGCTCGGACAATTTTTGTCTACTCTACAACCGTCTTCCCCCGAACATAACGCACGCTGAAAATAAACGTATACAAGCCGTCTTTCCGGTCCGATGCAGTCAAAATGACGGTGCGTTGTGTTCTGGGGAAGACAGTACTCACAACTGATAAGTGGTATGGTAACCCAGTCAGCTTATCGCAGCTTCAAGAAAGGCAATTGATAATTGGTATTGGTAATGTCTTTGTTTTTTTTTTTGTTTTTTTTTAAGCCAAGCTCCATCTATTGCTGGGGAGCAGCACCTGCTGGAAACCGGGTCCAGCGTCCCATAGATACAACCA